CGATTCACTTCTGGAAAGGATGCTTGTGTAACTCTTTTCCTAAGCGTTGCTGGGGTGGAGGGGGGGGGCAGTGTGCAGCGTGAGCGAGAGGCTCTTTTCCTTTCTCCCTGAGCGCAAAACCGTCTGCCTTCTTCTCTCTTGGATGGACCGAGCAAGGCTAATAAGATAATAATAAGATAATAAGATAATATCCTAAGCGCGTTGTGGAAACAGATCTGGATCTCATTGGAGAAAGGTAGCAAATGAATGAACTGGACTTTTGGCAAGTCTCGGGGTAGGAACTCGACGCTTTCTGGAAAGTTAGTGAGCAGGAAAATAGACATCCTTTCCGCTTTCTCCCAGCGTGGGTATTTCATTATCCCTCCCTGTAAGAAGTAAAAAGCCAAGGGAAAAAACGATGCGCAGGAAAAAGCCACAGTAGGAAGCAAAGATTTCTCCCCCCCCCCCCCACCCTCTCTCTCTCTGAAATAATTAATGTCGCAATCAGTGTGGTGCACCCTTGGAGACAAATTGGTTGGGGAGGCGGAAAGATATTAAGAAACAACTCGACTGTTTTTCGTCCAGTTTTATTTTTATTTATTTATTTTCCCCTGAAAAAAGCAGATCGCTCAACGGTGTCACAAAGAAAGGGAGAGGAATTGAGTGCCAGCCTGAGAAAGGCGAAGCTGCCTCTCTAAAGCATTTTGGTGGCTTTGTAAGTTTGGGGGAAAGGGGCGGGGGTGTCAATCAAGAATTATATCCAGAATACCCCAAGTGTTACAACTTACCGTATTTGCCGGCGTATGACTTTTTTGCCCTGAAAAACATGCCTCCAAGTGGGGGGGTCGTCTTATACGGCGAGTATATAACAAAAACTATATTTTGAGTGGAAATGTTGGGGGCTCGTCTTATACGCCCAGTCGTCTTATACGCCGGCAAATACGGTATTTCAAAGTGGTTTGGTCACAGAGAGGGAACGAATGAGGATCAAATCACCAAATGAATGTACATGAAGAAAGAGTGAATGGATTGAAAGGAAGGATGAGACACTGAGAAAATCATAGTTGAATGCAATTGATGAGAACATGAAAAAGAGCAGTGAAAAGTCTAAAAATAACATGCAGTGTATGAAGCAGTGTATATCAATATAGTGGAAGAAGACATAAGAACAGAAAAAGGGTATAATAATGATGTAAGTAAGCTTTAGCAAGGCTTCTGTTTCTCATCTTAATTCTTTAAATTCTTTGACTTCCACCTATTTCTTATTGCTTTTCTTTACTCTGTGTAACATTACTTTACTAGGGTTGATATGTATGAATGCATAAATAAATGCCTGCAGACATAACAAATCTTTTTCCCCCCTGAAAATGTGTTAACTTTTTCTGAACTTTTTCTGAAACTGTGTTTCAAAACTGGTACTTTGTTTCTCAAGTGACTCTTGTCTCTTCTTTCTAATATTCTTGAAAATAGGGAGAGGAAGACAGAGAAATAATTTTTGTATTTGTGGTGGGGGGTTATAAACAGGTGCTGGCAACGGATATGTCAAAACATATGAATCTTCTGGCTGATCTGAAGACAATGGTAGAGACTAAGAAAGTGACCAGTTTGGGAGTCTTGCTTTTGGATAACTACTCAGATCGCATTCAGGTAAGGCACTAAGGAGCAGGGATAAAATGGAGAAGAGCACATTTCAAACAGATATTGAATTCCAAGCTCAATTCATACTTAAATAATAATCCCTGAAAAATAGTTGCTTGGCTTCAGTCAAATATAATGGAATTCAGAGAAACACTGTGGCTTCATCAGTTGTGGGGGTGAACTTCTACAGTTGCACTTTGTACTTAAAGGCCACTCTAACCAACATCAGGATTTAGACAACAATATGAAAATCTAGTTTTTATTCATCGTTTTTATTCTTGGGGATCTAATTAGAAAAAAACAATTTATCATTAATAGGGAATGGTGAATAAGACCCAAATACAACTAGGGCTGTTAATCAAATATGTCTGTCAAACACTCAAGAGGGTATCCATGAACATGTAATTGAAGCCCCATTCCATTCCATTTCAAACAGATAATGAATTCCAAGCTCAATTCAAACTTAAAGTTAGAGCAGAGCTCAAGATTTTGTGGTTATTAAAACCATGAATGTCAAATGATAGTTCTATTGGGGTCCTCTTGTTCAGAAGTTAATGTTATTAAGTTCAAAGAGCATTATTAGTTAGTTTATAAAATATGTGAATCAACTTAAAATATATATATTAAAATCCGAGTTTGGTGGTAAGAAAAATAATAGAGAAGAGGCAGAAAAAGAAATGAATGAGGCACATACATACACTTAATTGTTAAACATTATTACTAAAATTGAAATGCTGTAACGTATTAGTTGTGAAGATAATACTTCCAATGATATTTCTTCTTTGATATGTTGATTTGTGATGTAGTTCTAATGTAAATGTTATGTAATTTTTCTTCTCCACAGGTTTTGCAGAATATTGTACACTGTGCAGATCTTAGCAACCCCACAAAACCACTAGAGCTCTATCGCCAGTGGACAGACCGAATTATGATAGAATTCTTCCACCAAGGAGATTGTGAGCGGGAGAAGGGCATGGAGATAAGTCCAATGTGTGATAAACACAATGCCTCCATAGAAAAGTCTCAGGTGACACTACTAGTAAACTTCAGGTTATAAATGGCATGGGGTTCACAACTGTTTAACTATGGCTGAGGATTTTGAAAAAAACTACAGTACTCAGAATTTTTATGCTAAAGTAAAATAAAATACAAAGCTAAACACAAATAGACATAAAAGCAGTGGTGGGATTCAAATAATTTAACAACCGGTTCTCTGCCCTAATGATTTCGTCCAACAACCAGTTCACCAAACTGCTGAGAAAGTTAACCACCGGTTCTCCCGAACTGGTGCGAACTGGCTGAATCTCACCACTGTGTAAAAGCTATGTACATTAGCATAGCCATGAATAATTTTAAAAACGTCTTGGATGGAAGGGAGGAGGAGAAAAGCAAACATGCGTATTCATAGTCAGAGCATTTTGAGTTAGGAAACTTTTGCTTGTATACCTATGGTTTTTGCAAGTGTAAAATTGGGATTGGAGGAGGAATTAGATACAGACTTATAAAAGATAGGGCAACAAAATGTCTGCCCTGGCATAATTTAACATTCTGTGTTGTTTTTCTTCTGCCAGGTGGGATTCATTGATTATATTGCTCATCCACTTTGGGAAACCTGGGCTGATTTAGTTCATCCTGATGCTCAGGAGATACTTGATACTTTAGAAGACAACCGAGAGTGGTATCAGAGCATGATTCCTCATAGTCCTTCATCTCCCCCAGATGCATCAGGTTTAGAGAAAAGTGGAGGAGACAAATTCAAGTTTCAGCTAACTTTAGAGGAGGAAGATGGAGAAGAATCAGATATTGAACCAGAGATTGAGAGCCCTTTGGAAGAGGATAATAGTGAATCTAAAACCTTGGGGACAACTGATGATTCAGAATCTGCAAATGAGCCATTGCCTTCTCCAACAGACAAATTGGGCAGCCCCCACAGAAATGCCCTGATCAAACAAAAGGATGCACTGAACTTTGACATCCAAAGAACACTTTCACTGATGGACAGTGGCTCCATAGCAGATCCAGCTGAGTTAGCAAGAAGAGAGAGTCTGACTGATGCACAATCATGTCTTGACATGGAAGGAAATATCACCTTTTTGCCTCTTGGGACGTAGTGAAGGGAAGGCCCAATGATGATTACATTCTGGCAGGGCCAGAAGGGGACCACCCCAGATCTTGCTGCCAGCAACCTATGATGTCACTCCCCATTGTAAGGGAGTGTTACTATTAACATTATCTTCCCCAAAGAAATCTGTAGCTTGAACCACATTATTTGCCCAGGTGGCAAAACATCAGACTATACCTGTCATGTCTTCCTTCCAGTGTTGCTACTCAGCATCTGAGTTGTACCTGGCAAATGGAGAAATTCTTCCTGCTGGACTTATCATTATCACTAATTTCTTATTTTGGTTGCAACTTGGAAATAGTCTGTATCTTGTTTTAAGAAAGCCCAGGTGGAAATACAGCTTTTAGTTCAGTGTAAGAACAAATATTTTGCCTGAAGATAGACACAGGTTCAATCTCTGACATCTTTAGTCTTCTTTTTTAGAGGTTCTAGGCTGGGGAGGGGGGAATTCTGACTGTGATGCTGGAAAACTTTTTCAAGTTAGAGCAGACAGTACTGGATTGTTTGGACAAATGGTCAGATTTTTTGTAGTCCTACACTTTCCAATCATGCAAATTTCATTTGAAGAAAGGTTCTGTATAATCCTGCTGAAAATCAGAATAATATAGTGGGCTTGATGGACCAATGATTTGACCCAGCAAAAAGGGAATCTTAAAATGACATGCTACTGCAGAAAGGGGAATTGTGCAGATAAATATATTACGTTTGCTTTTCTCAAGTGTAATAAAACCAGCATGCTGGGAAGTTTCACATAAAATATTCAAATAGGAGGCAGTCTCTGTAAATTACAAATAGTTCTAGTGTGATAGGATGCTATCAAGAGATACAAAATTCATCCTGCTGGATGCATTTGGTATCAAATTCCTGATACTCAAACAAGAAGGCCTTCCTTCAGTCTGCATGTTGCCTCAATCTGGTAGCTGCATTGAAAATTGCCTCCTTTATGTTAATTTCCTAAATACCTTTTCTCTCACATGAAAATATTTATAGAAAGTGATAGCCCAATTTCGCCAATAGCCAGAATCCCTATAAAGAAGGGACTATGGATTTTGTTTTATTTTTCCAGTAAGGGGGGGAAACTCTATTGTTTTAAATTATGTTTATTTTATGACATGTATTTCTCCATAGCAGCTGTAAAGAGTAAATAATTCATGTTTTTTTTAAAAAAGAGGAGTATTTTGATGCAGAAATAGGTAGTCAGTATTTAAAAAACCCTAATTAATCTCCCCAGCAATTTCTAATATAAGTCGACTATAATAACTGGCAGAACTGCTTGCTGTAATTGGAAGTCTTGCTAATTTTCAAATTTTGGGGGGGCGGGGGGAACCTGCACTTGATCATTTGTCTCTTTTTGACATTTCAGTGTCCCACTTTGTTGGGGCTTTGGAGGTTGCGGGGCTTATTTAACCCTTTCTCCTAAAAGGAATGGGAGATGCTATTCCAAGTGATGTGTTCATATTAGACTACTCATAAAGGTTTTGTGTGATATGTACACTATTTATTTTGGATCTTTTGATCATTAACATTTTGCAGAAGAAAAATACCTATTATTTTTAAAGGGCATTTTAACTTTTTTTTTCTAAATACATACATAGAATTGTTTTGTTTTAATAAGCTGGTTTTCTGACATTAGGGGAGAAGCAATTTATGTCCAATTGTGAAAAAAAATGTGGATTTACATGTTTCCCTCCTATTTTCAGTATTCAAAGAAATCTATTATTTTGTTTTTTCTGGGTTATCTGGATCTTCATGTATTTTGCAGTTCACAAAAGAAGATTGTTACAACACTGAATTTGCTCAAATCAAGTTAGAGATCCATTCTGTCCCTCTTATTCTACATCCCTATGCATTAAAGGGTCTGTCCTATTCCAGAGAGCACTTGTAACTAGATAGTACTCTATCCATTGATTTTTTTCCCCTATAGAAGGCTTAATCTTCTGATTTGAAGAGATGCATTTTGTGCTTTCACTGTACTGTTTGGGTAAAATCCAGTTCTATGGAGTCTCAAAAAGAGACAGGGTTGGTTGAAACTGGGGAATCATTAGCCAATGCAAGTAGCAGATAAAAGTTATGAATAGACAAATGAGATTTAAAGGTTCATTTGTAAAACTTTGGTGAGGGCAGATTATGATTTGAGAAGTTTAAACTGCTAAATGATTATCAAGCTAGGGTGGTACTCCATCTACTATATTTATGTATTAGAAATCCAGGGAAGGTGCAAATGAGGATGATTATATGCACCAATTTTTTTCCCCATATACTGTACCTCTTATGAAAGGCCGGTTATGCATTACTACTGGGAAGGCTACCACTTTTAATTTATTTTCAGCAAGTACTTTTTGTTCTTTTAAAAAAAATTTTTTTGTAGCTTTATGCTTAATAATATTTTGATGTGCAATAACCTCACCAATGGCTGATTCAGGCAAATTTTATTGATAGCAATTGGCTTAACTGTGATTTGCACTCAAAAATGCTGCATTATGTGTGTGCAAATGTATATATGTATATGTTGAATGTTTGTTTGTATACACATGTATTTCACAATGCACTTTTGAGTTTGCCGAGCTGCCACTGGGGCCTGGCCCTACAGATTGAGTTACTGTTTCTTTGTGAAATAAGTATTGTCGTAACCACAGAAAACATATTGACATTTTTATTTGATTGTCTGGTTTTCCTTGCAACATTAAGTGTTTTCTGGCAACACTTTTTTCTTTACATTGTATTTAAGTGTTAAAATGAAATGTTTGGCTTTTTAAATTGTACTATAAATCTCCAGAGCTTGAAAAAAAATCCCAGACCTAAAGAAATCATAGTAAGGCAGCATTTGTTAGTCGGAATGATAACTATAGGAGAAAAGAGAAACTGCCACAGCAGTTTAGAATGTGGAAATTGTGGATGGAGTTGTGAACGGAGTTAATCCAAGATAGAAAGGTAAATCAGAGCAAATAAATTATGAGGAGAGAGAGGGGAGGGGAGGGAGAGAGATTATATGGTGATGCTTAATCAAAGTTTAGGCAAAAAAAGCAAAAATGTATGATGAGAACTGTCATGATTTAGCCCAACTGATTCAGGAAAATTAGGATCATTTAGAATTGCAGAGGATGTAATGTTCTCCTCTTTGCAAACATTTTCTAACATCATAAGGAATTATTTTTAAAGGATAGGGGATTGAATGTTATAGCATGTAAAAATTTCACAGTAATTTATGCAAAAATGAGTGAAACTCTGGAAAAACAATAATGACTGCTTATTTCCCCAAAGCCAGGTCCTTTTTCCCTCCTATCAAATCCATCACTGACAAGCCTAACTCCCAAATAATGTAAATATTTAATCCCAAAGCATAAAGCTTATCTCTTATCTGTGCTTGCTTGTCTCTTGTATGTCCCTCAGTGCTCTTGATTTATACACACACATCTGCCTAGTTTCACAAAATACTCTTGCCTTCTTGGGGACTTATCATGACAGTGATCCACCAACTACATTTCCCTCCAAGTCCTATTTGTTTCTTTCACAGATTACATGGTGGAATTATAAGGGAGTACTGTATAATCAAATGGCCAAGCATTTGATTTGATATCAAATCAAAACTTTGATATTGTATTTTGGAAGATATTGTAAATAAGACTTAGCAAAGCTCACAGTACACAAACACACGAGGTTAGATGGGGATGATACATTTGCCTTTATTTAGACCCACAGATGTACACAAAACTCTACAAAACATTTTTTCTGCCATATTTTTTCCTTAAGTAGATATTATGAAGGTGAAAGAAAAGGAAAGAATGTAAAAGAACAGAGTCATAGCAGTGGATTTACAATCACTTTAGTGATGATTCAATTTTGGAATGCATTTGAGCTTGCAGAAGGTCTTTCACCATATAACAATTAAGGGGGATCTCTTACTTGTTTCCTGTATTTTGCCAACACCCCAGTCTGTGTGCCCCAAAACTAGCTTGGGAATTATACAACAAGTATGTTTGAGGTGTTCCCACTCTTTCTTTTTTAAAAGTTATATCAAACAGTTTGAAAAAAAATTCACTTTAGCAACATTCAGAAGTTTAAAAATGGTGTTATGTTGCCATCTAATGGTCACACACAGACTTTGGGCATGCATTCACACATATCACTCCAAAGTCTTCTATTCTAAATAAGTTCACAAGTAAACTTGTAGTCAACTGCAGTTGACTTTCTATAATTTTAGGAGATACTGTATACTTCCTGAATGTATCACTCACTATGATCTAACCATCCCACTGTAGTTAAGGATAATTTGGTATTCTTATAGAGATGGTAATTTATGAGGCAGATGAGCTAAACCTATTTAAGCTCAGGACATTACAAAATTTTGCAGAATAATGAATGAAAGTCCTAGCAATATAACACTTCAAAGTTTTATAATCATATTCCTCATAACACAACAGATAAACATGAAATGAAGGGACATTTTGATCCTAGTCTTCTGTATCTAGATGCTTAAAACGTTTTTAAAGTTATTTAATGGAAAGATTGTCAGTTACAGTATTTTACTGGAGAAGCAGCACAACAGATAGCATACAACATGGATGGGCTGGGTTGGGTTTTATTAGGAGCCCTAGGGTGCAGTGGTTAGAATGCAGTATTGCAGGTTAAGTCTGCCCACAGTCTCGAGTTCAATCCTGACAGGGTTTAAGGTTGACTTAGCTTTCCATCCTTACGAGGTCGGTAAAATGAGGACTGAAATTGTTGGGGGCAATATGCTGACATTGTAAACTGCCCACAGAGTGCTGTAAAGCTATGGAGTGGTATATATGTCTATTTATATTGGTTTGTTTTTCTCACTTTCCTGGCCATGATTGTCTTGGCCCATTTTCACAACAGCAAAAAAAACTTGCTAGCATTTTCAAATACTTTTCTCATAATATATGCATTTTATACACATTTGTTACTGTGAGCATGTTAGTAAATAATTTCTCCATAATAAAATACATCTGTCTGTGCTCTTTTCATTAACATGTTTTAGTGTTCACTTTTTGTAATATATATGTTTTATGTATATTTTTGAGTAGTGAATTACATCACCAATTCAGACAAAAAAACCCATATAATTTGCATACACATTTAACTGGTGTAAGTTTATATAAAAGTTCAGACTACTCGATAAATCCTAAGACTTAACAAACTCTCTAATTTCATTCTTGAACCTCCAATAATGATAACAACTCAAACATTTTTATTGCCACTATAATCCTGGCCCTTATTGCTAAAATTTATTGGTGTAGATTGATGCAGTGGTTAAGGCATCAGGTTAGAAACCAGGGCACCCTGAATCCAAGTCCTGCCTTGGGCACAAAACCAGTGAGATTACCTATCTCAGCAGTAGGAAGGAGGCAATGACAAACCATTTCTGAAATCTTGCCAAGAAAATTGCACAGGCGTGCCCAGGCAATCATCAGGAATCAACAATGATTTGAAAGGACACACACACACATATTGGTAGAATGACAAAAAATGGAAAATACCCCGTAATGTTATAGAGGTGTTGTGATATAATACTCATTTAAGTGGAATTTCATTATCACTTCAATAGTAAGAAAAAGATGGAAATGACACTGGGAAAACCAAGAGGATTACATTAGAGGGGTTTTCTTGATTCTTCCATAAAACATGTGAAAAAGCCACAGCAGAGGTGCCAGTTCTGGAGTGTAAAAATGTGGTGATCAGGAAATGACAATGAAGAGATACAGGAAACTCCTTGCTACTTACTATCTACTGGCTACTGCAATCTGGATAATGTAACGCAGTCCTGTTTTAATAGCTTTAAATCTCAATAATTCTATCACTGATATCCAATGGAGAATCATTGTTTATGACTGAAGCACTGTTAGCACTGATTTTCAAAAGGACCTGCTGTTTATCCTGTCTTAAAGGCCACATATTGTATGTCTAGTAAATTTAACAATGGCATTCTGGAATCAGGGCTGTCATTATTGACTGTAGTCCTTTGATAGAAAATTCTGACATATATTCAGCCTTCTAATATAGCAAACATATAACCTAGTATCAGAAAGCAGTCTAAAATGTTCCCCCTTCAGGTTAAACAGCATTCTTTCCAAGGGGTAAAATGCAATGAAAAAAAAAGAGAAATGGTTAAATCCTACATTTTTATGATCCCCAGCCTTTCCCTGCAAACAATCATCTTGAGGTAAAAAAATCCCAACCTTGTGTTCTACAACTAGTGCCCCTATGAAATCTATACAACCCACACTACAGTTATTTTGTTATTCTGTTGCTGAATATTGTTTCACCTTTTCAAACATTGTAATAAGCAGATATATTCAAGCTTGCTTTTATCTTTCACCTTAAAAATCTCAGTTGTAATAACACTGCAAGGCTACTGAATAATCTAGAATAACTGTATTATATAAAATGAATACAGGAAGTCTTCGACTTATAACTACAATTGAGCCCAAAATTTTTGTTGCTGTGTGAGACATTTGTTAAATGAGTTTTGCTCCATTTTGCGACTTTTCTTGCCACGTTAGGTGAATCACTGCAGTTGTTGTTTGTAACTTGGTTGTGAATCTGGTTTCTCCATTGACTTTGCTTGTCAGATGATCCCAAAAGTTGATCACATGACTCTGGGATACTGCCAAGCATCCAAATTTTGAACATGTGACCATAGGGATGCTGCAACAGTCATAAAAAAGAATGCCCATAAGTTGCTTTGTTCAGTGCCATTGTAACATCAAATGGTCCCTAAGTGAATGGTTGTAAGGACTTCCTCATATTAATAACGTTGCTGTTTTTTGTTCCAGAAAATTCACAATTATTAATATGTTCAAAAGTTACAAAACAAGCTATAGCTGCAAATAGGGCAGCAAATATTTGTGTCTTGCTTCATGGAATCAGCTTTTCAGTAGAATTTTTGTGTGTTTTGAAGATTTGGATCATTTTTTCGAGATGAAGACATGAAGTAATAATATCAGGAACTTTCTCATATTGTTGTGTATTCCCAGGAGTTATATACCTATGGTGTACAACCTATTTTACTGATGGCAGATAATAAAGTGTTAATGCTTCCTTTCATGCGAGGGAAAATATAAATAAGTAAATAAAGAAAATAAACACAGGTAGTCCTCGACTTATGAACACAATTGAGCCCAAAATTTCAGTTGTTAAGTGAGACATTTGTTTGGTGACCTTTGCTCCATTTTACAACCTTTCTTGCCACTGTTGTTAAGTGACTCACTGCAGTCGATAAGTTACTAACCTGGTTGTTATGTGAATCTGGCTTCCCCTTTGATTTTGCTTGTCAAGAAGGTTGCAAAATGTGATCACATGACCTTGGGACCACATCAACGGTCGTAAGTATGAACCAGTTGCCAAGCACCTGAATTTTGATCACACGATCCTGGGGGTGCTACAACGTTACACCGTTGTAAACGGTGAAAAAAAAAACGGTCATCCGTCACTCTTTTCAGTGCCGCTGTAACTTTGAACAGTCACTAAATGAACTAAGGAAATATCCCAAAGGTGCTTTTTCAAAAGGCAACTGGACAGCTTGTGTACGAGCTGAAGAAGCTTCCTGGATGAGAAGCCAAACGTCTTCTAAGAAAAACCAGAAAGTCTAGTTGCCTCTTGCAAAAAGCACCTTTGGCACAACTAGGACCTGGATGACTTGAGTATCTCCATAGACAACTAAGGGAATAAATTCCCCTCAGGATCACCAAGTAGCGCCTTCTAAAGGGAAACAGGCAAAATAAAGGAAATAAATATATTTCCGTGAGAGAGAAAAGAGAAGGAAGGAGGGGGGGGGGAGGAAATCTCAAAGGCTTTAGCAACGCTTCCTCAGAAGTCAAATCCCTCCGTGAGGTAAAGGATTACAGCCTAATCAATCACCGACGTGCCGCCAATCCCCGAGGCGACAACTCCACGGGCCCGCCCGCGGAGGAAAAGGGGGTGGCCCTTCGCGAAGTCACGTTACCCTCTCATCTGCATATCCCCGCCCCCTTCGGAGCGCTGGTGACGTTGGCCAGGGATCTGCAGGCAGGTGCTCTTGCCTCGCGCCACTACCGCCGCTGCTGCATTAGCTAGGAGACCAGAAGCGCGTTCACGGGGTGAGTGCGCGCCCGGTGCAATTCTCCCCCCACCCCACCCGCCACACACCTCTCGTGTTGTTGTTTTTAATCTTTTTTTCTAACCTAGATAGATAACCCCTTCATCTGTGTTGCCTCTTTTTTTTCATTCGGTTGGCATTGCTTTGGAACAGGGCGGCGCGGAGAAGGAGAGGGGGGGGGCAGGTTGTTAACCTTCATTTGACACATGTATGAGAAGTGGGGGAGGGGGAGGGATGCAGAAAATAAACGGGATGGGCTTATAGGTTTATAGGGGCCGGTGGGAACGTCATTCTAATCGAAGGATATATGGCGGTGGAAGGAACGTCGCTGGTGTTCTTTTTTTTGTTGTTTGTTTGTTTTTTTTCCAAAGGGAAAAAGTGTTTCGCGTTTAAAAATGAAATGAAATAAATAAATAAATAGATGGCACGGAATGAAACGGGAGATGGCCATTCATTCGTGGTCTCGTCAGAGGAGGTTTCAGTGATGCAGATGGTAAACAGGAGGCTCTGGAAGAGAGAGAAGAACGGAGGGGATGGGAAGGAAGGGAGGCAGCATCGCAGGTTGCAAAGGAAGCCAGTTCCTGCTCCAGTGCTGTTCCTCATTCGGGTGGGCCTTTCTTGCAAGAGACGGATTGTGCTGAGGGGCGGGGGGGGGGGGGGGGGGGGAGAGGAAAAAGAGAGAGGGCATTTTGTAATAACAGCTCTTTCCCTCCAGGCAAAACAACCCCCACCACCACTACCACCAAGCTTTTCCAAAGGCTCTTCGGGAGATGCAAATCTGTCAGCAAGAGTCGCTTTATAATACTTGACCAGAGAGAGGTTCTTTTCCTTCATTTCGCCCCCTCCCAAATGCCCCATCTAGTTTTGGGGATCAGCACTTTGTGGAACTTCTTCTTTGAAGATGCCCCCTCCAGGGCCTGGCTATTGAGCAATTTAATTCCAAATCTGATTGAGAATGTGTGGAAGGGAAAGAAGGTTGCTATCTGTGGTCTCTTGTCAAAGGAGCTACTTGCATTGTAGCTGAAAAAGACCCTATGGTAGTACCGTAAAAAATACAATTCTGTATTGGACATGATTAATGACTTGTGGTGAACACATTTATCAGCTTTCCTGAGGCTCAGCCTCTTGTATGCAATGCAGCATTAGGGGGTTGCTTTTTTAGCTCAAGACGGGGTGGGGGTGTGTGCATCATCACTATGTTTTTTTCATCAGAAGGAGAGCAACTAACTCTGACCAGGCTGCACTCAGCTATTCCCGCTAGCTTAACAAATCTTCCTAAACGTTCTGCTGCCCAAGGTTCCAATTCCCCATTAGCAAGATCAAAAAGGTGGTGTATGTGTGTGGAGTGTATGTATGTGTGTGTGTAGCCAGACAGACCATTTTAAATATTCAATAACTGGGGGAGCATTTGATTCAACATGAAAGCATTTGCAACTTGAGCACACTATGCAAGGCATTGCATGGACAGATAAGGCCGGGCCAGAGGATCCTGCTGGATAACATCAGGCTTGGATGTCCTGGCACAACCAGTGATTGATAATTGAAAAGATTGAATAGCTTGACATTGGTCTGCTCTGCTTCCCTTTACGTTGCCATAAGCTACGGTGATGATAATTTGCTTAGACAGCCTTAAAACTGGTTTGGACACTTATGAAATGGAGAGAGGCCGTTGTTAATTGCACTCGTGAAACGGAGCTTCCATGTTTGGAAACAGCCAGCAAAACAATTTGCACAGGGGTAATTGGCTACCCAGTATTGAATAATTAGCATCATATTTGAATCAAATTAGCAGGATCTTACACCATATGAATCAAGTATATTCCTGCATTAAGGCACTCTCTCTTCCTCAAAACATTGGGTGTTGATAATGAATGGCCAGCAATTCATTATCACTTTCATGTCTTGCCTGATGTTTTCCCCTCTGAGGTATATGCATTAAAGTGAGATGGAAGAGGTGGCAGTCCATCTTAACAAAATAACCAAGTTGGAAGGGATCTGTTTCCAGGTTGGTTCTCTCCTTGATTAGTTTCCATCCATTGCTTCTTGTCCTGCTTTCTGATCTTGATCTTACCCAGTAAGGCTCTTGGCCTAGATCTTAAGGAAGAAAGAAAATTAAGTTAGGGGATGTTAACTATAGACAGGTTATTCCTATATATTAGGAAACCCATTTAGAAATGTTACTCAGTCATGACACCATGATCCCAGTTTCTGAAAGCCCAACTGATGAGGTAATATTATGTAAGCCAATTCATTTTGGGAATTATTAGCACCTAGGATTGATGGCTGTTTACTATTTCCTGAATCACAGATAGCTTTCCTTATGTAAGGCATGCTGTCACTTTCCTTGTCTATGCTGTGAGCATTTCATGGCACAGAATATTACAGTAGATGAGATGCTGGCCTGATCTAGGGCTGCTCTTGTGTTTTTATGCTTTACAAGATCTCCTAGAAGATCCCTTATTCAATAGGTAGGCCTGAAAATTGGAACCAGATTCTAATCAGCTTTCAAAAAAGACCCTGCAACTGTCGTGAGAATTAGAACCTTTGTTGTTAATTTGACATTTTTGTTTAAAGTAGAAATGACATCTGAAAACCTTCTGAGATAGATCTGTACCAGATACTCAAGCAAATTCAAAAGGCGCCGATACTCTTCCATGTTGGAGAATCAAGAGTTGCATATCTGCATTGGCCTATGTGCTGTTTTCAGGTTTCCCACCCAACTTGCTTGCTCAACACCACATAAGGAGGGTCCCAATAGCAGCATACTTACATCAATTAGTGATTTGCTGGGTTTCTACAAAACACCATATCATTTATTTTTTGTTTATTTATTTTTATTTATTTAATTAATTTGCCAATCGCTTACAAGATAATAGATATAAGAGTAAATATGAGTATGAATACAGGAAATAGGTACAAATAAATGGGGACAATAGGACAGGGACAGTAGACACAAGTGTGCGTTTTGAGGTAATTCCCTGTTAGGAGAATGAGTGCACATAGGGAGACGTAGTGAGAGTGATGTTGAATAACACACGACCAGCACACAGATACACTGAATAGTAAAATGTAGGTTATACTTCCAGTAAACGGGTAAGTTCAGTAACAGATTTACAGCAATCCAAGAAGAATGACTACCAGGAACAGTCAATAGGGAAAAATGCAAGAACCAACATCATCAGAACATATAGCCACTAGCAACAACAGAACTAACAACCCAGGTTTCTGGCTCCATCTTATGGCCGTTTGAGGAACCACACCCAATTACAATTTTAGCATTCCCTTAAAGAGACAGTATTAAATGTCTATCCTGGTTTATATATTTCCAACTGTTAGGTGACTAGCAATTCCTAACAGTGCGCTTATGCACACAAATGAAATAAATGAAACCAAACAATGTCTCGATCCAAAATAGTAAAGTTGTCTTCAAATGCTACAAAAGCCTTAGTGTTCAAGATGATTCCCCATTCAAATATTAATCAAAACCAACCTTGCTTAGCTTTCTAAACCAACTAAGGTTTGCTAGGTCCTGTCACTTGCTAAAGCCCTTGAATAATATACTAAACCACAAAAAAAGCTAACCAACTTAACACTGTACCAGTTTAGCATATTGTAGGAATCATCTGATAGATCCTGATTTGGCCTTGTGAAATAATTTGATGGATATAACCAGAGGCAAGTGCACATTGTTGAAGGTATCTCTTGGTGGCCAGAATTGGGGACATAAGGCTAGAAATTAGATAGCTGCATTCCTTTGCGCTAGTCTTGGATTCTGTAAAAGGAGATGCATATTCAGTTGAAAACAATGCAGCATGGACAAACAGTATCTGCATTTCAATGGCTTGTCTGATTCTGCACCAAAAGTTCTTCACATTTTAGGTATTCTGGTTTTCTTAGTGCTTGGAAGTTCTGGAGCAGGTATGTGGCAAGGCAGGTGAAATTGAAATAGTCTTTTCTTTTGCACTGTCTTTCATTTTCACCCTCCTCCACTTATTCGTGTGTCTTGAGCACATGTGCTAATGTCCAAGAGCAAAGGATTTTATTTTTATTATTATTTTTTGTTAACCAAAGTCATCTTTGGGTAGTGGGACAGAAAATGAAGATGGCGGTTTAAAAAAAGTATAAGACTTTGATTTCATGGTCATATCAACATCTGATTCTCTCCCCTCATAGATCAACCTATGTGATTGTAACCACGCATGTGTGTGCATTTACTGATAGTCCTCAACTTATAACCATCGATTTAGCAACCATTCAAAGTTATAATGACACTGAAAAAAGTGGCTTCCATCCTAACACTGTTGTAGCATCCTCCAGGTCATGTGATCAGAATTTGAGTGCTTGGCAATCAGCATGAATTTACAATGGTTGCAGCTTCCTGGCATCAAGTGATTGCATTTGTGACCTTCCCAGCTGGCTTCCAACAAGCTAAGTTAATGGGGGAAGTGGATTTGCTTAACAGTTGTTAGCACTTAATATCCACAGAGGTTTGTTTAACAATCATGGCAAAATAACTCACTGAATGACTGCTTTGCTTAGCAACAGAATTTCCAGTCCCAATTGTGGTTGTAAATTGAGGATTATCTGTAAACTCAAGCCTATGAACAGGTAGTTTTCAACATGGGGCATTGTGACTGGATTCACACTTTACAGTAAGCCATAATATCATTTGTTCAGCATGAACCCAATTGGCTGTTGCTTTTTCTACAATCAAGTTAAGCATAACATGATTCAGCCCAATCTTTTCCATTGAATCCAACCACGTGCCATGTAATTTAGTATTTACTGATTGGCAACACATCTGTTGATTTTCAGACCAAAAGGAATCTTAATCAGCCCCATTTGGAGAATGAATTCGGATATTTTTTTTTGCACCTCAGCATGTGCAGCACCGTTGAGCAAAGGCTATTCTAAAAATAGCAATTCTAATATAATTCCTATCCCTATAATAAAAAGAGTGATTTAAATAGGACCATGTGAAGTTACCTAATGCAAGGTGAG